TGACAGGAGCACCACTCCTTGGGACAACCAGACATGTCTTCATATATTGCCAAATGTTCTTGAAATATACGTCTATCCCACAAGTCACTGGTCGAGGATATTCACCTGAGTGTTCCTAAAAATAATGGAGTTGGGGGGCCGGGGAGATAGCTCAGTGGAACAAGCGCTTCCCAGGCAAGCGCAAGGGCCTGAGTTCAAACTCTGGTTACGCCAAAAATAAATAAATAAATAAATAAATAAATAAATGGAGTTGGTAACACCAAACACATTGTTAGCTTGGAAACTCATACTCAAGGAAATGATACAAATTATAAATGCCAGACTCTGGATTTGTCTTCAATGTTACCCAACTGTTTTTATTCATTCATTCATTCATTCATTCATTCATTCATATGTATTTGGTACAGGGTCTCACTACACAGCTTGGACTCAGTGATTTTCCTGTTTTCAGGCTTCCCAGCCCTGGGATTACAGGTGTGCGCCACTAGTGTGTCTGAGAACGGGGCTGGTGTGGCATGCAGTGCCAGGGAGCAAAACCCAGTCCCTGCACTTGCCTAAGCAGGGGCTTAGTCAGCTGAGCTATCTCGCCGACCCAGCCCAATTTTAAAATCACATAATATTTTAATTAAACAATTCTAGGGCCAGCCAGATAGCTCAGCGGATTAAAGTGCCTACTCAGGCACAGCACAGTGACTGGGGTTTGACTGGGTGCTGGCCCCGCCCCTAGGGCACACTGACAGGGCGATTGAGACTAGGCCTGGTGGTGTGTGCCTATAATCCCTGCACTTGGGAAGCTGAAAATAGGAGGATCACTACAAGTCTGATCTATGTAATGAGACCCTCAAGACGCTGTACTAAATACATTAAAAAAACCAGTTTATTTTTTATTTTTTCATGTCATTATATAAAATTTTATCAATTATATTTAATAGTATATTTCATCATCAGTTTTTTCTAAAAATGCTGCAAAACATTTATTAATTTTTTCACTTCTTTTATTTTATTGAGAAACAAACAGCAATGAGACAGTTTCAGAACTGATTAACAGGACAGTTTCAATAATTGGTACATTGTACATTGTTATCTTCTTAGTGGTTACCCACAGTACAAGAAGCAATCAGGATATCCTGTCCAAACACTATTAGTACAAATCTTTTTTCTCATTGAATTAAGCGAAAGAAGCTGTATATCTATCCTAACCTGCATATACAGATACAAAATGGTCCTTCCTTTGATTCCCTTTTTTTGTTTAGTCCTGTCAGAGATATGTATTCCATTGGCATCTAAATACTATAGGTGCATGAATTCAGCAAAACAATCCAACACAGTCCAGCAGTCCACAATAGCAGTGGGTTATCCGCAGAAGTTGTTGACTTGAGTCTTTCACATCTCAGCATATTAGTATGGCTTTACTTTATATGCCTTGTTTTTATATTTTTCTGCTGGATGGTTAAGACCAAGATAAAGCAAGACCTATATAATAAGAAATGTTACTTTTGTATCTGATAAGGTCAGTCAAGTACCCTCAGAATTAATCCTATAACCCTGTACTGCACTTTGTAGGTCAAAAAAAACAGTCTAAAAATAAAGAAATAATCCATTCCTTCTTCCCTGGAGCAGGGTCCATACAAAGACAATATGAAAGTAAGAAATAGACAACACGTGCCCAAAAGAAGTGAGAGACTAGGTACCAATGGAGGTGATGGGAATAAAGAAGCTACAGGTGAGCTTTATCTACCATACCAGTGTGACAAGTACACTTAAAATCGACTTCTCTACTCTCTTGGCACTTGTACTAGAAATAAGAGTCAACTTCTCTCTGGCAAGATATTATTCTTAAAATATTTTTCTTTTTAAGAAAATCTTGATAAAATAGTATGGGTTTCCCTAGTGAAGACCTAGAGAACTGTGAAAAGGAATTAAGATTTTGGTAAAGAAATGATTATGGGGCACCCACAATCAACCTTGAGTATTTGGAAATATTTCAAATAAAGTTTCGAATTCCTCTTCCTCCCCCACAGTTTCAGGAAACCTCCAGCTCTGGGTTGGAATTTTGCTATAAAACATAAGCATGTAAACTAAGTCACTTAATAATACCTTCCCCTACCTGTCTCAATTAAAGGATATATAATATATCTCTCTCTCCTACCTTCATCCTTATTTTCTAGCAGGAATGTTTTACAGATTAACTGGAATCCTGTTTATAAAGTAAGTATGTCAGCTATTACACACAGGCCCTGATAATTATTAGGCTGTATCAATACGTGGAGTTATTTTTTTTATGTAGTCTAATTATACAAAAATAGTATTACATGGTTACAGTCTTCAAATTTAATTCTGAAGAGTAAAATATGGAAGTTGTATCATGGCAAGTTACTTGTGACATTATGCACAACCTCATTCTCAAACTCACTTGTAGGTCCTCTAAAGCAACGAGAAGTCAGACCTGTGCTCACTGCACCTGTGGGCTACTTGCTCACCACTCAACAGCCTTGTGGGAATAGTGACTAATTCTATCAGCCCAGAACAAAGACTCTAAGTTACATAAGGCTTTGTCACTAGTCCTATCTTCTCAATATTTTTAAACAATATAGGTGAAAAGCAAAGCAGGCAGTCTTCCCTGAAAGAAGGGATCCTTTTGGTAGAATTCTTCAGCAACCCCTGTATTACAAGGAATTTGGTTTTATTTCTGATTATTTCAGCCAAAAAGTTTACTTTATTAAGCAGAAATCTTAATACTGTGAGTGAGATAAAACTTGACTCCTTTCCAAATGAAAAATATTTTATAATTATTTCTATCTAGTACCCCACAAATACGGTATATGTTAAATGGTAAGCACAACCAGACTGCATTAGAAAAGGCAATAATCATAAACACTGCTGTTTAAAATCCTGAATGTATTGTAGCAATTTTGAAAAGTGCACTGCTCTCACAAAGCAAATGGAAAAAATGCTTACTGCTCACCAGAAAAGACTGGGTTCTTCAGATTGAGGGCATGCCTGCATGCTCACAGTAAAGGCAGAGCTACTTACTGGATGTTGTACGTCAGATTTTGGGCTAAAGATTGCATGTTTCATTTAATCTTCTCCAAAATACAAGAATGGGAGTTGATGGTGTTACCATTCCCATTTTATAGACAGGGAAACTGAAGCTCTGGTTAAGTCGTTTGTACAAGGTCATATAGCTCATTGTAACTTTGTAAGTGGTAGAACCTCAGAGTAGTTCTTAAGAGTAGGTAGAACCTTAGAATAGATTAGAACTCAATCTGAATGCAAAACTCAGGCACCATACCTGACTCCACCTCAAGAAAAATAAATGCCTACTTACAAATGTTAACATTTCAGTTTTACATTTTTGAATGAAGTTAACCAATAAGACAAACGCCAAAAACATCTGCTGACATGGGGTGAGTTCAAGTGAATGTTTCAGAAAGTAATCAAATGAGGACACTAATGAGAAAAGTTCCACTACCAGAGGCTATAAGCCTCAGCTTTTAAAGAGAAAGAACCCTATCCCTAGGAATAAACGAAAGGATTACCTAAAAGTATTCTATAACCTGCAAACTACTACATTTTATCAGGTATCACTTCTGGTACATACAAAAAAGCACAGGCTTGGTAAATCAAACCGGCAGAACACATTTCCTGCACAATGATAAAGTTCCGCTTAACTAATGGGAATTAGTTAGATGGACAAGGCAAACAAAAGGAAATTGTCTTCCCATGTTTTTTTTTTTTGTTTTGTTTTGTTTTGTTTTTTTTTTCCATCAGCTCAAAAACTACTGTTGAACAAAATTCACTCACAATTTGTCACGTCTGGGGAATGTGTCGGAAGCTCAATGTACAGACAGGACTGTAGCCACTCCGGAGAACCATCACACCCCTCCCCCTGCCAGCGTGTGTGTGAGCACTGGTAGCAAATGCCAGCCCAAATACCACCTCCAATGAGGCCATCCTTGATCTCTCTAATCAGAACTGAGCTAGCAGTCTCCTAAAGTGCTCTCGCAGCACTACTGGCATTTCATTGTCTGTAACCTAGAATTATCAGTTGCTTCCAATACTAACTTCCTTCTGCTTCTTCAACTCAGTAACTTCACAATGAACCTCAAATACATAGCCTTGTCATCTTATTTGCCGGCACTGAGATCAGCATGATCAATTCTATGTCTGAGGCTGCAGATTCAGTCTACACTTTGGGGGCAGACACTGACACACACTGAAGGAAAAAAAAAAAAAAAAGTTTGCATGTGCACGAAAATCTAGGTCAGTATTTTCCTTCCTTTTGATCCATGTTAGCCCCCCACACACACACAATGCTCTTTAAAAAAACTATCGAGTGGGAGACACAATCGGAAATGAAAGGGGAGAGAAACGCAAGAGAAGATGCAAAACTCTGTTTCTAATTCAGAACTACTTTCTCCAGAGTTTCGCCAAAACATTAGGCACCTGAGGCACAAGGACAGTATTCTATCCCGTGGCTGGTCACTTTTTGGATTTAAAGACTGATTTCTTACTGAAAGCCACCTGAGGTAGATACTGTCATTTTCCCAATTCTGAGCCCACTGTCCTAACGGCCAAGGTAATAAAAAGAAAAGGCCTGACAATGCGAAGACCCCGCGCCTCGGCCCGCGCTCGGCACCCCGGGCGCGCAGGGGAGGCCGCAGCGCGGCTTCCGGGCACCGCCGCAGGGGCAGGCCACGCG